CCGGGCGGGGCACCCAGGCCCACGCTGCACTGCAATAGCTGCCTTCACCCGCCTGACGCCTGCTCCCCCACCATCTGCAGAGCGGCTCCAGGGACACAGGCTCCCGGCTTCGCCGGGCCTCGGGGCCTGGGGGTAGGATACGGTTTCCCAGGCACACACCCTCCTCCCACCCTATGTTGAGGATGCACCAGCCCCCAAGCCCCTACAAGCTAGAGCAGGAGGCTGATGGGTCCTCAGATGCTGCCCACTCCCAAAGCAGATCTTGCATGGGATCACCCCCCACTTGGTCCAAACCAGAGAAAGGGAAGAGGACACTGGGAATACCTGACCCACCCCGGGCACGAGGAAGGAGCCTCCAGGTAGGCCCACAGGGAAAAGGGCTGCTGGGGCCTGAGGGACATGATGGCCCTGCTCCCCACTGGGCTTCCTCAGAACTGGGACTCTCACCTCAGGGGCCACCACATCCCTTCCCCCCTCCAAGGTCTGTGGGTCCCAAGGGCAAGGGGCCTCCCGCTGCTTCCAGCACTCTTTGCCACCACCACAGGTGGCAGAAGGGCCAGGAAGCTCTGCAGTGGTCCTTCTAGAGTCTAGAATCTAGACCTTCCGTTGAAGCTTAGGGCTAGCGCTCAGACCTGAGGGAGGTAGACACGTCCTGACACTGCCTAAGGCGCTGCCTCTCCACGCTGGGACCCCTCCCAGTAGCAGCTGAACCAGCAATATCAACTCAGACCCAGGCCCCCTTCGAGACAGTACAGTCCCCAGATACCAGATGGACAGCCCAGCACCTGGAGTCAGGCAGCCCAAAGCCAAATGCCCAGTGTGTACTGTCTACAGCTGGTCCCGCCCGAGGCTACCGGCTGACAGACAGCCAAGTTCATGTATGACCTACTGCCCTGAGATGGCAAACCTGGCCTCACCTGGGGGTTACCCCCTCACCACACAACCCACGGACAGCTGGACAAATGCTGGGGCCAGAGCCATGGAGGATGTGTACTGTCTACAGCTGGTCCCACCCGAGGCTACCGGCTGACAGACAGCCAAGTTCGTGTATGACCTACTGCCCTGGGATGGCAAACCTGGCCTCACCTGGGGGTTACCACCCTCACCACACAACCCATGGACAGCTGGACAAATGCTGGGGCCAGAGCCATGGAGGTGGGGCACCCCTTGCTCAGCTTCTCTGAAGGTCCTGGCCTTGGTTCTTGGGGGAGTCATAAGGGTGCAGAAGTCACCAAATGTCACCCCATCCCCAAGCACAGCTAAAGGGGCCCTATAACCTAGATGCACAGGGACGGCTTTCCCAAGCTGCTGAGGTTGACTTCCAGAGGGAAGGGGGCTGGGTCCACAGGGATGTCCCTGCCGCTCTGCTCTTCGAAAGCAATGCAGCTCCAGCCCAGTGTCTTAACGGGCTCAGTCCCGCAGAGGGTGGAGCTGGTGGCAGTGCCCATTTCCCCTGGGGAGACCATAAGAGGCCCTTAGGCTGCCGCTGCTGTTTCCATCACCCTCCCCACAAGGTGGGGCTCAGTCCCGCAGAGGGGTGGAGCTGGTGGCAGTGCCCGTTTCCCCTGGGGAGACCATAAGAGGCTGCCGCTGCTGTTTCCATCACCCTCCCCACAAGGAGCCTTAGATTCTTCCGGCGGTGGGTGAGGCCAGGTAGAAACCCCGGGAATGGGCATCCGGCCTTCCCAGGAACACTTCGCCTGAGTCTTCCGGGACAGCTCTGCACACCTCGGGGATCAAGGCCACTACGTCAAGGTGAAGTTGACCTCAGCGGACAAGAACCGTGGGAGGGAGGTTCTCCGATGGAGCCTGACATCCCTGGATCAGGTGGTCCCACCCTGCAGCCAGGGCCTTCATTTGGCCTCTGTACACTTAACCCTGCAGCCCTCTTTGTACCTACAGGGAGCGTAGTATAGACCACTGTGTCTTTCTACACCTGGGGAAACCGAGGCAGGAGGCAGTGAGGTACCTACACTCACCTGGCAAGAAAGAAGGCCTCTGGTACATCTGAGGGCATGTCCTGCTCCGGGCAGGGCGCGTTCCTTGCTTAAGAGCAGCTGGTGGCAAGTCTCCCTCCACTGCTTCCCAGGCCAGTCTTGAGGGAGCCCAGGGACAAGGGCCCCCTTCCCCCCCACGAGTGCCAAAGTAGCACCTGAGCGAGGAATCTCAGCCCCAAGAATGAAAAGGCCCCAAAGGAAGCACGAGGACCCAACCAGCCAGGTCCCCGAGGGTCCAGGGTAGCCAGCTGCATGCGACCCACCGCCTAGTGCCGGCTCCCACACCCCTCCACACCACACAGGCCCCAAGACCCTCCACCGACTGGGCTGACAGTGCAGGCACCCAGCTTTGGGAGACTGTGCCACATGGGGGCGAAGCCCCTGGTGCCCTGGCAAGGCAATTGTGGTGTTTTGTTGTTTTTTTGTCCTCCTTCCATTTTCTACTCTGCAGTCTTTTAACAGAATTCCCAAACTAGGTCGACACAGCTCCAGTCCACACCAGCACACCAGGCTTCCTCCCAGGGCAGTTGAGGAAGCTCCCTCTGGGCATGGCCGGGTGGTCCTCCTGCCCCTTCACCCCCTGGCCTCCACGGACTCTGGCTGAGGGGGGATGGATGATTCTTAGGCTTCCCTCCCCCCTAGCACCCATCACAGGAGGCCCGTCGGAGGCTCAGCTCCCGTCCACAGCACTTCCTTCCTGCCTCTTGGAGGGCAACAAGGGTCCCGGAGGCTGGTCCTGGATCCCCTCCTCCCTTCAGTGGGAGGGGCAGAGAGCCCAAGGGCCACGCGGCTTGGTCCCTTGGACACGCAAGCTCAGGGAGGACATAGCGGAGGAGGCAGCTAGAGGACTTTGTAACCCTGTTGGGCACAGACCATGCAACCTGGGGCCAACTGGGCCTCGTCCTCTACCTGCTCAAACGTGCTTCCACCAAACAGAGGAAACCCATTTACTAGTTTTTCTAATAAATCAATAATGCTCCACATTTCTCTCCATGTCTGATTTGACAAGCCTTGCCTCCCTTTGCCCTGGGCCAAGGAAGGCTGGTTTAGCAAGCAAGGAAGGAGGGAGCCGTTTCCAAGCCAGACTCTCTGGCTTGTCTCCGAGTCTTACGGGCCAACTCTGCCAGCACCCACGTCCTGCCTCACCCGAGACCCTGATTCAAGCTCAGTTGGCCATGCATCCAACCATCTGAGGGCCTGCTGCAGGCCTTTCCCCAGAGCTCAGGACAGAGGTCCTGGCTGGACATCAGAATTACCAGAATCGCCACGCCTCATCTGCCCTGGGCGGGGGTGGAATGTAGGTGTGCCGTGCCAGCACAGCCAAGGGTTCGGTGAGCCTGAGGGGGGGCAGCAAAGGATTTAGAACAGACAATCCTTAACCGGTTTGGCTCAGTGGACAGAGCGACGGCCTGCGGACTAAAGGGTCCCAGGTTCGATTCCGGTCAAGGGCATGTACCTTGGTTGCGGGCACATCCCCAGTAGTGGGTGTGCAGGAGGCAGCTGATCGATGTTTCTCTCTCATCGATGTTTCTAACTCTCTATCCCTCTCCCTTCCTCTCTGTAAAAAATCAATAAAATATATATTTAAAAAAAAGAAAAAAGACAAGAAAATAAGCTGGGTCTAGGTGGATCTCCTGTGCCTGGCTGAGGCCACAGAG